ATCAGCTGAAGCGTGCGATGGCCGATGATATTGTCGTATACTCAGTATACTCAGTCGTTTGAGTTTGAGCTCGCCTCTATATAGTCATAGACTATCGCTGCTAACCGTTCTTGGACAACTTGGATTCTTGGTCATTCTTGTCTTGTTGCGATCCTCAGGATTGCTCTTCCGTGAACACATTTAAGGGAGTGTGCCACATGCTACAGAAGACGAAGCCGCTGTGTTTCATCTTGGAGAATGTTGATTCTTTGGAAAGCAGTGCAAATGCCTCCAATGATGATGACAAGGAGTTGCTTGGACTGGTGATGCTATAACGTTTTTTTTGAAGTCGAGTCAAGTTGACTCGTTGACATTAGTGATTCTTAGTGACATTAGGTTCACAATGCAAGCCGAAATGCACGTCAGGCCAAGCAAATCGAATTTGGAAATGATCATGGCCTGGCTGAATGAGCTTGGCTATGGCGTGGCAGTTGAGAAATTGCGATCCGACGACTTTGGCCTACCCCAACGGCGAAGCAGGCTATACTTTTTCGGATTGCGGCGGGATTCCGGCGTGCTGGCAGAGCCAGCTGACGACATTTTGTCGAAAGTTGGGGAGCGACTTCTTTTGCTACGAAAGAATGCCGCCAACCCCGACACCTGGCATTTATGACGTCATGAGTTAGCTAGTACAAGTTGCAATCCCAATTTCGGCCCAGGAATGCTTCCTTCATTCGGAAGATGACAATATGCTGGATGAGGAGCTTGAGCGACTGGAGACCAGGGCGAGATCGGCCAGTGCATCCGACAAGGGCGATGGCATGGAACCGGCATCAGCCAAAGGCGATAAATGGAGAGACATCCACAGCTCAATGGCAGAGCAGAGTTGCAGCCTTATTTTTTTATATCATGCCATGTCTATGTATCACACTGTGGTACTGCAGTACTGCATTACGAGTTATGGGGCATGGTGGATGCAGTGTATTGTTGTTGCTAAGATGGTGTGCAATGGCCGCTGGCACAGCCGGCCCACCTGCAACGGTCGCCTTGGTTCAAGTTCCTGACGCCGCGAGAGCAGGAGGTGGGCTCGGCTTCTTATACGAGGCATGAATGGCATGAATCATGTCTGTTTTTGCTTGACATTGATCGAGGCCGTATGTTTCGTCGAATTGTGGAATGAGCGGCGCAAGCGGGACGGCGAAAGCCAAATGGCTTTCGTGGACCTGTCGCAGAGCCTCAACCGGATGGTGCACTCGACATACGACTCGAAGGCCATTTCATTGATTCATTGACTATCAGCCTTTGCAGCTTGTAGCATTTGACAGAATTCTGAATGTTGAATTCTGTTATTAACGTAGTAACAGCAACAGCAGCGGCGACCAGACCACCACCACCACCACCACCAATGCAACTACGCAACAACAGATGCTGCCAGTTGGCAGTCATCGTTTTCATTCACAAAAACTGTGATGAGTCTTCGCCACAGGTTGTCCCAACCATTCTGCCACAGATGCGCTTGTGGATCACCCAGCATAAACGATGGCTGCTGGGAGTCTTGGATATATTTCATGTATCATGACTGTCATTCACCATGATGATGCACAGAAGGCACATATGCATCAGTACTCGTGGAGGATCGGAAATGCTGGCGATGCAGGGTATCGATGTGAACGAGATGGATTGCATTGAGTTGAGCCAACCACAAATGGCCAACCTCGCTGGGAATGCGTTACTCGGAGTCTAGTAGTAGTAGTAGTAGTAGTAGTCGTCGTAGTAGTCGTAGTAGTAGTCGTAGTAGTAGTAGTAGTAGTCGTCGTCGTCGTCGTCGTCGTTCCCTGTGTTTGAGCATGACTCCAACTAACTCCAACTAAGATTTTCGGCGCCATGCATCACAGCGGCTATTATCGGCTTCCTCAGCTGCTTGAAATTCAACACGCAGAGCGAAGATGAGGAGTTGGATGAGATTTCGCAAAAGCACCTCTTCATGCAATAATCGTTTCGAGTCTCGAGTGTTTCATGACAAGCCTGGAACCGCTGAGGTTCGCGATTCCGGGGTCCAAGTCCAAGCCGTGAAGCTTGAAGGGACGTGTGAGTTGAAAGAAAAAAGCTGTGTGCGCTGCAGTTCCTCTGTGCGGCTGCAAGCAGTTCCGAAAGATATCCGTCTGCCACTACCGCTACTGCTGCTGCTGCTACTACTACTACTAGACTGACTAGACTACTACTACTACTACTACTACTACTACTACGACGCCACTGCGGCTGCTGCCGCCACTGCGGCTGACTATTGCTACGACTCCGACTGATCCTGCTTCTGCTCCTGATATTGCTAGTACTCCTGTTGCCACTCCTGTCATCTTTGTGACAAACTGTACCACTCGTTCACCGTTCACCCACCAAAATATCCAGTCCAGCACGCCCAGTACAATTACAATGTGACCCAAATGCCCCATACATTCGCCGCATATGTCTCTTAACACACACCCACCGACCCCACATGTCCCATATGTCTCGTACCATGTGCCCCTCTTATTCCATACCATGCGTCCCGTATGTCCCGTACCATGTGTACCGTACCGTGCGCCCCTTACCATGCGTACCGTACGTCCCGTCCGTCCCGTACCGTACGTCCCGTCCGTCCCGTACCGTGCGTACCGTACGTCTCGTACCATGCGTCCCATACGTCCCGCACCATGCGTCCCATACGTCCCGTACCATGCGTCCCATATGTCCCGCCCGCTCGCCCCACATGTCCCGTACCATACGCCCTCACCCGGAACTTATCAACAGAGCATTACTCTTGAAATTAGATAACTTTGGACTGAAGATCCCGATGTTCCGGATTCGGAAGCTGTGTTTCAGAACGATAGCAGGGGGGTTTCGTTGAAGGGTAGGGTTTTCGATAGCTACGATACACCCGTGCACTTCGATCCCTCTGTTAAGCACTGTGTTCTGTCCTACCGAGGTACACGGATCTCCATCACTGCTTACACCTCTAGAGGTTTCCCCAA